ATATATATATATATATATATATATATATATATATATATATATATATATATATATATATATATATATATATCCCTAACCTATGATGACCTTCTCTCAATTGTCAGAATCACAGTTTCTAACATTTAGGCCCAATCCCAAATCTATTTTTATACCCCTACCTCTCCCTTTTCCCCTTCCCCGTGGGCCTTAAAAACTAGTGTGAAGGGGAGCGGCTTCAAAATTTACCCCTAGGAATTGGGACAGCACTACAAAACCTGTACACGTCATCATATGTCATCACAATCTCATGCTTCATATAAGATCAGACGATCACGACTGCTGTAGTTATTCCAGCAGGGCTCGAAATTGCGACTATTTTTAAATTATTTATAAAATTTTACCTATGTGACCTCGAAATATATTTGGGAGCATTTGTACAAGTGCAAAAGATTGTTGTGTGTGACCAGTTTTTACTGCAAAATCTTCACCACATGATTTGGGAGACATTCACGCAGAATGCATCCCTGCACTTGAAACGCGAAACGCAGCGCTCAGGAATGGTTTAAAACAGTTGTCATGTCAACTTGCTGCAGTAAACAAAGCCAAGTCCGTAATGCTTGCCCCGCCTTTGCACTCTTCTTATTGGCCCACCGCTTCTCTAGCACTGAAATATCAGCTCAGTCAATGCCTTCTGGCTGGGATGACAGAGAAAGCTACTACCGCGAAAAATTGTAAAGCGCTGAAGATGAGAATGAAGATAACACTGACAGATTTTGTTTTAAAAACCATGGCATCTAAAGTTACAAATGACACATCTTACTTGTGATCATGTGCTGAATGTTAATCCACCATCTACACTTTTCGAAGAGTGGATAAAAGACTTCCATTGGCTTCAAGTGCACTATGAAAAGTCTGTGGGATGGAATTTTCAGGTAACTGCGTGCCACATCTAGCACAAGCTTCTGTTTAATCCTTCATATAATCGCCAGAATTTTTTAAGTTAGTAGCACCGGTGCTACCAAGCAAAAAGGTTCATTTCGAACTCTGTTCAGTGGTTTAGTTATATGAACGTGTTTGTTTAGCTAAGAGGTAATATGTTCACACATTATTGATAGATTAACACATGTACTAGTAAATAAACAATGAATTAATGAATTCAATAGTATTTACATATGGCTCTAAAAACACGTTAAAAAAAGACTAGTTCATTATTAATTTAATAAGGCACTGCTTTTGCTTCAAAAAAACATCTTAAAATTTGCACATAAATGGCTAAAATAGCTTAAACTGAACCTATGAACATGGGCGCTCTTCGTATCACTCCTGTAGGTGCACAGTGACTCTTTGGGGCACTTTATGCAGTTCTAATCATAAAATGGGCAGTTGTAAATGCTGTCCGAAATGCTTTCAAGATGGATATAAATCTGATCATACAAACCATTCAAGAGGTATCTGGGACTCATTCCAGACTAAACTGGACATGTTCACTGAAAATGCATCGGGTTGTTGAAACCACATATGCAAATTTTATGTTATGGGCTAGATGAGAGTCAGATAATGGTGCAAATGCAGTATAAAATGGAAACACCACAGATAGCAGTTTGAGAAATTTGTTTTATTTTTTCATTTAGCTTTAATTTTTGGATAAAATAAAAATGTTAAATTAGTATCAAAATAGATGTTTCATTCAGCCTTTAATGACCTATAATGTCACCTCCTGCAGCCTGAATATAAAATAATTTGTATGCTAAATAAGATATAGCTTATGTTTAGGGAAATGTGCAGGTTTATCTGATGCTATAGTTGAAGTAACCTAGCTAAATTGGCATATTTAGATTTGAAGACTGGATTCATCGGAGATTCATTTTTGTGGTTAAATGTAAATCAAACAGTTTTCAATGATCAGAAAGCTATCCAAGCAGAAAAACGGATGAAGTGACCAGGTGTAAACTAAACCACCCCTATGGAAGGCAATAATAATATGGTCGCATGAACACATCCTGTGCGCTTCTCTGTGTTGTGGCAATTTACAACACAATGAGCAATTCAGTCATTGCATAGATCAGTGAATTTATACTATTTTCATGATGCATGCTCAAGTTCTCTTTTAAACAGTGTCTCATATGGGAAAGTTTCAATGTGTCAGCTGTCAAAGACAAACTATTTACCCCACCCCCTTACCCCAAACTGCATGTTTTGCAAGTTTTCTTGGTGAAACACACCTAATTCCACTCATCAGCAAATTAGCAGACACTCCAGAACCTAAAAATGGTTGAATGAGAAAAGGCGCAAACACAAAATCTAGCTTTGTTTTTGTTGAATTGTGCACGCCATGAGTCTGTTTAATCATCTGTTCAACTCAGGATTGGTCTTTTTAATTATGAGAGACAGTTCTAAATAATGCTGTCCAATATATGTTTGAAAAAGTTATGAGTTAAAAAAACACATGATGCATGCTCGAGAGCCCTTTCAAACATTATTTAGGTATCTTGTTATGGTAAAAAGTGTGTCAAATTATCAGCTGTCAAAGTCTTTTTACTATTTTTTGTCATCAGTATAAAATATATTAAGAATGAGAGATACTGTCCTTGACAAAGTAAATTTCTATACATCGTGGTTTGGGCTGTGTTTTGTAGTTATAAAGCTGGCTGGATATGAGAGACCAGTCCTTCAATTTCTAATGGAGTAAACATAAAAGGCACTGAAATTTCTTTTAAAAATTTGGCCTTGACATTCTGTGATATAAAGGTGCAGTTTGTGATCTGCCTAAATGCTAACCGGTTGGCATAATATCTTTTAAATACAGTCCCTCCCATGTCGTCCAAAGACACGCCTCCTGAAAATGGGAATACGCACATTAAATATGACAGAGACCCACTAGTTCATGTCATTCACCATTAGAAAACTTTATTAGTACTTTATGATACTGCAATTCCCAACAAAAAAACTGTATTATATCTAGCACATTTTCAGGAATGTAGTTAGCAAGAAAAACTTGTCGTCACTCTCTCATCAGTCTCACTTTCTCATGCGCTTTTTCCTAAAGTGACTACTGTATGCTTAGTGCTTGGCCGGCAGGCTGCAGATATTACACTTATTGCTAAGCCATACTTGCATGCTATTTCAGACTGAATATTCAAAGCAGCATGGAAACAATATTGGGAGCACATTACAGGTTGTCATTGTTCACAAATGAACCAATTTAGTATAAAATCTTCACCTCAGTAAAGCAGGCTAGGCGGAATACCATTATTTACTTATATTTTGTTGTTAAACTAAATAAAAATGTACATGCTGTAAAAGGTCCCTTATGAAACTGAAAGGTCACATCAATCATTTGCCGGATGATTTCAGTTGCCAAACAACACTTATGTCAAAGTCCTTTTAAGTGTATTCTATAGTCTTTGCTTCTATGCATATAACTTATTTGTAAAACAACACAATGTACATCAGCTTTGGGTACCCAAAATAGTTTTAGAACAGAACTTCACCTTTCTAAACAAAATACTTCAGTCATTGTGTCATCCTTCCTCCAGCGTGCAAGAGTAACTCCAATATTAATTCAGGATTTTTAAAAGTTTTGATATAGCATTTGTTTTTAGCGCTGTCACTCGTGTCCACGTGACCAAGGCTTGCGTGAATGCGCATCGGTGGATCTGCATGAACAGGTGCGCAGTTGTTCAAATCTACATTTGCTGACAGACAGTTTGGGCTACTTATCAGAATTATGGGAATTATCCGCCTGACAATATTTAATTGTATGAACATTTTTTAGTCTTATGCCTTACCCAGAATTTAAATACACATATAAATACATTTAGAGCATTTCAACATATGAAGAGACTTTCAACCAGCACCACAAAACATGTTTCTGAAGACAATCAACGACTGCACCTTTAAAGGAAATCAAGAAAATTTTAGTCTTCAATAACAAAGAACAGCTTGTAAGACCACGCAAAAATGTGGGAGCCTGAAAGCTTCAATATCATAGTTTAGTTGCTATTCATGACACTAAATGGAGTTGATATGCACTCTAAAAGTACAAAATCATTTAGTTCCATTGAATCTAACTCATTTTAATTCACTCAAGTAAGATACACCAAATTGTTAATTTGGAACTATAGACAAAACCACTGTCTGGAATTAGCCTGAAACTGTTGAACTGGTTTATCAGATTACAGATAATTCAGATCAGATAACGGTATGTTGGGTAAGTGATAAACACCTGCTACCTACAATTATACAATTATTTTAATAATCAAATAATCTGTTGACTATTAGCCTAATATTTTTTTACTGTCAATGATAATAAATAACTAAAATTAATAACTGTTATTCCACAATTTTCCATTGGAAAAGTATTAGTTTTTCTTACTATAGAAGTCAGTGGTTACAGATTTCCAGCATTTTTTTTACATCTTCTTTTGAGAGGAGAATTTTTATTTTTGGGAGAACTGTTCCATTAAATATTCAATACCAAAAGTTGTCAGAGTACAGATCAAGATTTCATAATGCAACAATTGAAACAATAAATAAATGAGTCTGTTTCTGTTAAACAATGATGAAACAGTTGTTTTATAAATAGTCTCATGGTTTAAAAGTAATAATATTTGTGAAAGCACAGTCTCCGTTTATAAATTCGTTCAAATAAAAGGAAAATAAACTGCCCTTTTACTCTCTTAAACTTTTTTTGATAGTGTTGGTTTTAACATCACATGATTTTCCAGCCATTTCCTGGCTATTTTAATGAGTGTATGTTTGTTTTGTAATTTAAATAGTAATTCTAATTTACTGTAATATGCATAGTAAGATAAGGTCAAATGTATTAACAGTGTAATACTGTAAGCTGATTACTATTAAAAAAAATATACAGTCACTGTCATTCTCTACTGTAAGTCTATTTACTGTAAAATAGATTACCTGTCAGTGAAAAAAAATCAGAAGAATAAGTTTATTTTCTGCTGCATCAGAAAGAGAGTCGCTGTCTTTGCCAAAGTAATTGTATATATATTGTGGTTTAGGCAGAGTCACTGGCCAGCTGTTTGGAACCAGTAATACAGGAAAGTCAGAGAGATCAGAACTGCAAATACCAGTGAAGTTACCAGACAAGGTAGTGAAATTCCTTTTAAATTTTGGCTTGACATTTAGAAGACAATAATTAAACTTCCAGTCTTGATAATGAAATAAAACAATGAAACTTTATTGCAATAAACAGGCAAATAGGACAACTCATGTGAGAGTCTGAACGCTTCAATACAATCGTATAGTTATACCATTCATGACATTTACTGCATTGAGTTGATATTTTAAGTTAAATATTGAATTAACAATAATCATGAATTGCAAACAAAATAATCTATGTCGCATTGACTTTAATTCATTGTAATTTCACTCATGTACAAACACTTTGTAAATATACAGGAAACAAAACTCCTCACCTCTTTTAAGGGCCTCTGAGAGATATTTTGTTTCAAGTAAAGCCAGTGTGTCCGACACAAAGGGGAATCCTCGGATGTTTGTGAGTTTCTTCATGAAAAAGTTATGACTGAAGCTGTATTTTACTTTGCACTTTGAAGGACTGACGAAGTGCTTTTAAACCAATAGTAAGTCTGTATGCAAATACCGTCACATAACCGCTGCCTGGAATTAGCCTAAAATATCTGAACTGGTTAATCGAGATAACAGTATGTTAAGTAATGGATTTTTCTTTGATAATTGACAGATCTGTTGATTGTGAATTCAAATGATTTTTTAAATTTTATTAAAAAACTAATTGCAGATAAAAAAGATAAATAACTAAAATTAATAACCTTTAATCTATATCCTGTCCAAAACTGTTCTCCATACAAAGTGATTTCAGTGCTAATCATTACTACACTGTAAAAATTGTAACGACAAAAAGTCAAAACAAATAATCTTATGCTGCTTTTTTAAATAAGTTAATCAGGTTTCAACATTTTTAAAGGTTAAAGGAAAGTTAAAGTAAAGTTAAACTTAATATTTTAGTCAGTGTGCTAAGTAAGTTGAGTTGACTAGAAAAGTTCATTTGATTCAACGAAAAGATTTAAGGCAGTGAGAATTTTTTTTACAGTGTATTAAGAAAGTGATAGCCTAACTAATTAATAAACCTCTTTTAAATATGCACATGTAAAGTTAATGCTGTCTGTGTTGTGTTTATTTTTCTTCTCAAAAATAAGATGTATATCAGTTGTGACGATTTGGCATTTTAATCTGTTAACACAAAAGCACAGATTTTACAGTGTGCCATGTCTTCGCCCTTATAGATCTTCTTTTCCATGTGTAATCAGTGCAAAAAGGGATAGAAAGGGGTAACTCTTAAACCAAATAAAACCAATGAGTGATAAAACATATCTGATAACACAAAGCACAGGTTTTAGTGTGTCTTCACTTTTACTGTACGTTCACGCCGAAGGCAGCGAGAGTCAAAATTCACTACATTGGCCTTGTATTTAAATTAACCATTGCAGCATATTAGCATATCGCTTACGTTACAGCATAAAACCCTGCATTCTAGCATTTAAATGCTGCACATTTTTTATAAAATATATTTAATGATAATAATAATTCCTTACATTTATTTGGTGCTTTTCTGAGCACTCAAAGCACTTTAACTTAACAATGGATGCTCAAGTTGTAGCATGTGTTGTGTTATCCAATATGTCCATATGTCTGAAATATTCTGAAGCAGCAATATTGTTTTGTATGGTTATAGTTAGCATAAGATAAAAAATTTTTTAAGACAAAAAAAGCCTGTCAACTCACTAGTAATCTTTTTACTGTATGTCGCTGTAAGACAACATTGTGAATGATTGTAAATCTGACCACAATAGTCAAACCCCTGGGGACAAATGTGGTCAGAACAACCAACGTTTACTGGACAGTGTTCTCTGGACTCGTCTCAAGCAGAGGACTTCGATATTCCGATTGCTTGCCGCCAAACCACGTCATAGCTCATTACCTTAAAGTTGACTTGATTTCAACTCTCTTCAACGTCCACACCAGCGATTACGCAACGCGATGCTTTTCACAACTTATCGCCACCAGCTCCCATTGAAAACGAATAACTTCCGGCTACTCTCACCGCCTTCGGTGTAAATGCACAATTATAGCTCTTCTGTTAAAAGAACAGTGCAATACATTTAACCTCAAATATGGTGAAAACATAAAAATAATGAAATATATGTAAAAAATGAAATGATAAATATTATGTAAACATGAAAAATATAATTTAAGGTAATTTTAAGAGTTCATAGGATATAAGCTTATTAGTAGCTTAGCAGACACTCACCTCTCCCATGTGCAATCAATGCACAAAAAGGGAAAATGGTTCAAACTTAAGCTTCTTTAGAAATGTAAAGACACACACATTGACAAACTCCTGAGGTATACATTGTGCAATTCTGTAACTGAAATGCATATGAAGTTAATACATAACAGGTGAAATTTAACCTGTTACAAACACATCACTCTTTGTAATCCTAAGTCTCGGGCCTCGGCCAAAACATTTTTTCTAACACGTGTATCACATATACTCAATACAAAACAATGAAATTTGAGGATAATACTGACAGTGGTTTAGTATTTTCCATAGTAAAATCTGTTTGCACAGAAAAAAAGACTAACTTTGAACAACCTGACGATGAATAGGTTGTGACAGAATTTTTCGGTGTACTCTACCTTTAAGACCCTTCTTAGAAAAGCAGTAGTGTGTGATCTTGGCATTGTTTGTGTGAGAAGTTTCATAAAGCTAGAAGCCAAAATGCCTCGTGAATGCAAGCTTTGTTTTTATGCAAAACAAGAAGTGCAAATGTGCGGTTTCATGTGGGTTTTAATTCCAGAAGGGATATCTTCAGATCTATATTAAGAGCAATAATCAAAACGATCTGTTTTAAATAATGCTGTGCAATTTAACTTGATCTGATAATTTTTCATGAAGTCATGTGACATAAACGCCTCATCCATGTTATTGAGCCATGGTGGGTTAGGGGGAAAGTGTATTCTTGTTTTTTATTCTTACTGTTTTCTACTTTGTGAAACCTACAAGAGCCATGATGTGTTTTACATTACAGAATGTTACAATAATATAATTCCATTACATATGATTATGAATAGGAAATAATTTAGCACTAGGTGTAGGAAAATGACTAAAACTCACTACAAACTTTCAAATGAGATTTTGTGTTATCAAGGAAGTGGTTTTTTCATGCCGCAGAACAGATACACTTTGGTTTAAAAAGAACTGCAGCAGTATATCTTTATTTGCTCTGAAGTATTAGGTAGAGCCCAAATGATCCACAAAATCCTTGAAATTTTTGGTTTTAATGTTACATAATTTGCCTGCTGTTATTAAGCAAAAAGAATATGAGTGTAATATTCTGTGTTGTTTTTTTAAGACATGCAAAATAATATGCAAAATGTGGATGCCACGGACACATTTTTTAGAGATGTAAGGGGAAACAGGAATAGTTGATACTCTTTTTTACATTTCCTTCAGATTCTCAATGGTAGTTTGTACTGGCAATAAAGACAACGTTTTGATCCCTGAGAAATCAAAATAACCTTTGTAGGTGTTGGTGTAAAAATGTTAGTATTAAGGATATCTGTAAGCTAATGGGGTCTGAAACAGTGACATAATTTGCATTGCGAAGTTATAAACATTAAAATCTTCAGGTTTGTCACTTTCAGAAAAATTAACCAATAAATTATTTGACATTCTCATATTTCAGTTTCTCATCAAATGTGACCAAATAAGATGCTATCTAGTATCTGATTTGTCACACCTCCTTCAAGATGTTATTGCTAATGCTGAAATTAGTCGAAATATGAGATGGAATGGAATTGAAATTTGTTACTCACCGTGTTTTTTTATTTGGTGAATAGGCTAGTACTAAATAGGTATACAAACAGTGTAAATATAATTTTCTTTGAAATTAGTAAAATATGCTTTCATGTTAAAGGTCCCGTGAAGTGCTTAGAAAAGGGTATTTGTATTCAGTGCTTGGCATAGGCTTTACTGAAACATGAAAAGCGGGTGGGACATAGAGTAACTCCCTGTTTTAAATCATTATGCAATTTATGATGTACAGTATCGTGTCGACAGCAGCAACAACAACAAAAAGCAACTACAGATTTTCCATAGATTTTCCTTTAGTTTGATTTATTGTTTATATTATGTTGCAACGTATAAAATGTACCACAGCATACATTTCTGGAGAGCGCAAATTATGTAGCCAGCGCTACGTTTGGGTGCATGTCATTTTTATTTTGTACACAGCTGCTGTGGGATTCATGAAAAATAACTGCAAAAAAAAAAAAAAAAAAACCCTGTATAAAGAGTAAGGACTGTTGAAAGTGTTATGAAATTTAATTACGCACGCCAATTGTTATTAAATTAATTCCAAGATTACAGTGAGATTAATCTAGATTTAAAAAATAATATATGCCCACCTACAGTATTTATACATTATGATTTTTTTATATATAAAAAGATACTATTATTCAGCTTAAAGTGCAATTTAAAGGCTTAACTAGCTAAATTAGGTAACTACAAATCTAACTTTGCAAGAATAACAGTGGTTTGTTCTGTAAACAATCAAAAAAATATTGCTTAAGATATTGCTTAAATGTGTTTAAAAGCAATTAAAAACTGTTTTTATTCTAGCCAAAAAATAAAAAATAAAAATAGAAAACACAAACAAGACTTTTTCTAGAAGAAAAAAATTATAGAAAATAATGTGAAAAACTCTTTGCTGTTAAACATAATTTGGTAATGTTTGAAAAAAAAAAAAACATCACAGTAGAGCTTATAATTTTGTATTATAGATAGGTTATTCCACCATGATTCTCACTAACACACCCATCTCGGAAACTTGGTGGGCAAAAGTAATTTTTGAGTTTCCCCACACCATTTGCGGTGGTGTGCGTGTGCATTTAACTCAAAGATACAATTTATCTGACATGACTTGACTTGACTTTCGACCTTCAGTGACGTTCATACTTATCAGTTGACAAGTACTAATTATGTCATTCCAATTTTGATGTCTGGTGCGTTCATGCCTTTTTTTTATCAGCAGAAGATGGCAGTATACCCTCTTTTGATAAATTCCTAGAAAATACATGTTTGTTAAAAGGAATAGAACACCTCAAAGTAAAAAAAATCTGGCATCATTTACTCATCCTTCACTTGTTTCAAACCTGTTTAACTTGTTTTCTTCTCTTGAACATGAATAAGGATATTTTCAAGAAAGCTGAAAACTGATAACCATTAACTTGCATTTTCCTATCTTGCATTGTGTTCAGTAGAATAAAGAAATTCATAAAGGTTTGGAACCACATGAGGGTGAGTAAATTTTCATTTTTGGGTAAACTATCCAGAACTATCCC